ATCTTGGAGCGATCACATATAGATCGCGATCGCACAATGCGCGGCGGGGAACGGCAGTGGACGGCGGAGAGCACTACGGCTCGTGGTGATGAGAGTAGTCAAGATTGTGAAGATGAGAAGAGCAGAGAGTGGCGAGCGTGAATGGTAGTGGCAGGCACCCTCCTGTCAGAAACCGAACTGTGTGTTCATTGATGTGGGTTAGGGTACATATAGCAAACCCTAATATTTGACACAACCCCATAGCCTAAGTGAGGGATGTATAGCAAAGACAAAAGAATACGGTCACAAGACGAGTTACAAACAAACAAGGCTCGGGGTGGATCACAGAGCTACTTCCTCTGCAGAGGACGATTGCACGTAGAGCCACTTCCTCAGGGTGGACGATTGCATGCAGAGCCACTTCCTCCGTTGCAGTCATCGCCGGGCAGGGACGGAGGTCAGTGCAGAGCGCCCGATGTACGTCGCCCGGCCGAGCACCTCTCCGCCGCGGAGACGAGCAACATCTCGTCTCCGTCCTCCTGCAGCTTCACGCCATGCTCCTTCAGCTCGCCGGCGGACAGCAAGTTCGCGTGCACGCCCGGCACGTACAGCACGTCGGGGATGAGCACCTTCTTCCCAGCCTCCCCTTGCACAGCAACCCTGCCACGGCCGCGAACGTCCTGCAGCGCCCCATTGAAGCCACGCACGTGCTTCACGTCGCCGCTCAGCCCCGAGTCGACGAAGGCCTCTTTCGTCCCCATCAGGTGGTGCGAGCAGCCACTGTCGAGCAGGACCACCGCCGGGTTTGCCTGCACAGCTGCCGCCACCGCCTGGAAATCCTCGCCAGCCTCCGGCGCCAGCGAGACGGTCGGCTCCACGACGCCGACCAGCGAGCACGACGCCTCCTTGTCGCCTCGCCCTTTCCCACCCGCGAAGGAATCGGCGTCCTTCGCCGAGGTCGACTTGTTTTGTCAAGTGCTTTTCCTTTCGCGGCTGGTTCCCTCGACGCGGACGACAGCTACCAGACCTCCCGCGGCCTCCCTTCGCATCGTCGTCTTCGGAATCGCTGCGGTCGGGGCACTCGAAGGAGAGGTGATCGGGATCGCTGCACAGGCAGCATTCCCGACGTCGACCTCCTCCTCCATGACTGCTCTCCTTAGCCGACTTCTTCTTGTCGGCGTCCTTCGCCGGCTTCCCGCCACCGCGTTCACTGCCACCAGACTGTCCGCGATGTCCCTGTCGGCCACCTTGCTCCGCCGGGGCGACGAAGTTCACTTGTGCCAGGAGCTTTTGGGAACGCTCAGCCTCCTGCATCGCCTCGTCCTGCAGGATGTAAGAGGACAATGTGTCCTCGTTGAGCTTTGCCAGCGTGCTCGGCGCCATCGACAACCGCTTCAGCAGGTTGTAGCTGCTCGGGAGTCCCTGCATGACGTGTGTGACATATGACGCCATTGAGTACTCCGTGCCAGCCATCCGAATGGTGGCGAGAATTCGCCGAGCTCGGTTGCAGTAGTCAGTCGTGGTCTCCTGATCACCCATACGCAGGTGCGTCAGCTGCCCCTCAAGCTGGGCGATGAACAAGTTATCGGTGATCTGGTAAATGGACTCGATGAAATGCCATGCCTGGTGGCCGGCGTCGAGGTACTCCCTGCACGACTTCAGGGCGATCTGTACGCCCGGCGAGCAGCACCGCGAGATGACCGTGAAGGTCAGCAACTGCACGGCGCGAAACTCCGCACGCAGGTCGGGGTAGTAGTGCTCCTCCAACGTCGCCACGGTCCCGTGGGCGAAGCCCATCAGCCCGGCCATCTCCAGCTGGGGCTCGATGGCTTCCTTCCACGTGAGGATGTCGGGACGACCGACCAGCGGAGGATAGACCGAGATCCTGTCCGGCGAAAACTTGAAGCAGCCGTAGCTCGGCGCAATTCCTCCCGATGTCACGTGCGTCACTGACATTAGCGCCAATTCACTTCGTCTGCCTCCGACGTAGCCCTCCGAGGCCCCTGCAGCCGCGGACGACTGCATCCCTCGCGAATGAACGCCGCTGACCTCATCGGCGTGAATCACACCTTGCTACCTTGACGTTCCTCCCGCGCTGCTACCGACTTGGCCACCACCCGCGTTGGCGTCCGCGTTGACGCCCGTGTTGTTCACCGGTCGAGGAGACGCAGGTCGAGAAAAGAGATGCTCCGTCACCCACACGGCGCGAATGCTAGCCTCGATATGAGGATCTAGGATCGAGTTCCGAAATGAGAGTTTGAATTGAATGATCACCTGGGTACAACACGAGGCTATATATAGGCTCAACACAAGGGGCAGTAACCAGGTGTTACGCGAAGGTTCCGCGGGTCGCGAAGCGTCCCGAACAGACCCTTCCTGAATTCGGTAAAAGGAATTTTGGTGGCAACCGAATAGCCTAGAATTCGGTGTACGCAACCTAGCTCGGTGCTATAACTATAATAAAATATAGGAAAGCACCTAGCCTAGGAAATCAAGCAATTCATGCATGCATAAAATAAACCTAAGCTAGAAATAGCGTAATGGAATAGAAGCAAGGATGAATAACAAGCATAAGCCGTCGTACTCTCACACGTCCCCCCCTCAAAGCTGGGTGGCGTGAGATACACCCTGCTTGACAAGATAGTCCTTGAGAGCACGGCGTGCGTTGCCCATATCAGCTTCTGCAACCCAACTATCCTCAGTGGGGTCGTATCCCTTCCAGCGTATCAGGAACTCGAGGGTCTTGCCGCCGCGGCGCCGATGAGTGAGAACGCGCCCCATCTCGTACTTTGGTTCATCCTGCAAAAGAACATATGGTGGTGGCGGTAGCTGTCGTCCCTGGAACTGTTGGTTGGGGTCCTTGTAGGATTTCAATAGCTGCACATGGAAAGCGTTGTGAAGCGTTGTAAGCGCAAGCGGAATGTAACTGGTGTCACATGTGCCTCCACGAGAAAAGGACCACAGAAGCGAGGCCGGAGTTTGGATGGTAGGTGAGACAGGTTCAAGTTGCGCGTGTCAAGAAGCACCTGATCTCCGACTGCTACTGAGTGATCTCGTCGTTGGCGATCGGCATACTGCTTCTGGGAGTTCTGCATCGTGGAAAGACGTCGCTGAGTCTTCTCCCATAGCTGCTGCATCATGGTGACGAAGTCGTGTGCGGCTTGGACGTGTGCCGGTGTGGTTGGCTGCTGTGGTGTGAGTGGTTCCCGTCCGTAACACAGGAAGAAAGGAGTTTTTCCTGTGGCCGCATGCGAGGCGTTGTTGTAAGCGAACTCTAAGGTCGGTAACTGTGTGTCCCAGTGGCTGATATCGTCTTTGCAAGCTGTGCGCAGTAACTGTTCAACCACCTGATTGAGTCGCTCTGTCTGTCCATCAGTCTGGGGATGGTATGCTGAAGACATCGCAAGCTTAGTTCCCAACAATCCCATGAGCTCCTTCCAGAACTTACTAGTGAACTTGGGATCTCTGTCTGAGATGAGTGTAGTGGGGATGCCGTGGATGGTGATGATGCGGTCAAAGAAGAGTCGAGCAGTTGCTTCTGCTTTAGCTGTGGCGTTGGTCGGTATAAAGTGACCCATTTTGGAGAACTTATCGATCACTACGAGGATGGAATCGTGCCCTCGTGAGGTCGAAGGGAGTAATGTGATGAAGTCGAGGCTAACGGCCTGCCATGGCTGCTCCGGTACAGGTAGAGGCTGAAGTAACCCTGCTTTTTTCTGCTTGCTACTCTTCATCCGCTGGCATGTGTCGCATGAGGTAACGAAGTGCTGCACGTCTGCTGCTATCCGAGGCTTGTGGTGATACTTCGTTATTCCTGCTAACGTCTTGCTGCTCTCGAAATGTCCCGCGTAAGGTACGTCGTGAAGCTCCTCCAATAGGATCCGCGTAGCGGGGCGTAATTCAGTACCCAAATCTTTCCTGAACCCTTCCTTACCGCTAAGTCTTTCTCCCACTGTAACAGCTTCTGTTTCTCTGCCGTTGCTATTTCGCCGTCCACGGAGTATCAATGTTAGATTAGACCCTTGAGGAGAGGGTTCATCCCGTCAAGCTGGATGCCTGCTACATGACCTGGGCGGCTCAACGCGTCAGCTTTGTTGTGGAGCCCTGGTTTGTAGACGATGTCGTAATGGAAGCGGATCTCCAAGAAATCCACCCACCGCACCTGTCGTCGTGCGAGCATTGGCTGCGACTTCAGGTATTTGAGGCTGCAGTGGTCAGTATAGACTGTGGTCTTGGCTCCCTCTAGGTAACACCTCCACGCCTTGAAGGCTACGACTATGGCTAAGGCTTCCTTGTCGTGTATGGGGTAGTTCACTCCTGCTATGTGTAGCTTCTTACTAAGATAGGCGATAGGCTGTAACCCGCTCCCGTGAATCTGCATCAGTACTGCTCCGACTGCCTGGTCACTAGCGTCCGCTTCATCTACATAGTCCTTCTCGGGGTCCGGTAGGATGAGTACTGGTGCTGTGGTCAGTGCTGTCTGTAGCTGTTCCATGGCTTGCTGATGAGGAGCACCCCATTTGAAGGGCGTGTGTGTCATTTCTCAGTAGATCGGTCAGTGGCGCTGCTATCTTAGCATACTGCGGCACGAACCTGTTGTAGTAGTTGGCGAAGCCGAGGAATTACTGCACCTCTTTCACATTCTCTAGAACTTTTCAATTTTTAATGGCTTGGATTTTCCGCGGGTCCACGCGTACGCCCTCGGCACTCACCATGTGCCCGAGAAACTGCACCTTCTTCAGTGCGAAGTCGCTTTTCGAACGCTTCACGTAGAACTTATTTTTCCGCAGGATCTCGAACACCTTCCGCAGATGCTCCACGTGCTCCTTCATGTTCTTGGGTTGCTGAGCGCCACATATGCTTAGTCATGGAGGTTGCTCGTACCTCCATGATCCATGCGGCTGCCCCCCATTTTCTGTGGCCGTTTGCAGTCCGGTACGCCGCGCATCAGCTCAACCTCTGGCCCCGTGTCTCCGTGCCGGAGACCTCGCCCACACTACGTTGGACGGGGGAGGTTGGCGATGCGTTGTGTTTCCGATCTCACCGCGGACAAGCTCTCCCCTCGCGCCATTCCCTGTGTCTTCCTTGGCTTTCCTCCTGACGCGCCTGGCTGGCAGTTTTACGACCCCGCCTCGCGCCGTGTCTTTGCGTCTCAGGACGTCACCTTTGACGAGTCAGTCCCCTTTTACCGTCTCTTTCCCTACCATACTGCCCCTCTTCCCCCCCCGCTGCTCTTTCTCGCTCCAGGTCCTCCCCAGGTAGACCCCCTCCCCGCTCCAGGTCCTGCTCCTTCAGGTGTTTCTCAGGTAGACCCTCCGGTGCTTGCGCCTGTTGAGGTCACTGGTGACTCAGGTCCTCTTGGGGTTGGTCCTGCTCGGAGTGCTATCTCTAGGGGTGCTGAGCCTGGGGGTGCGGAGTCTGGGGGTGCTGAGCCTGAGCGTGAGGAGCCTGAGGGTGCTGAGCCTGGAGGTGCTGAGCCTGAGCGTGAGGAGACTGGAGGTACTGCGCCTGGGGGTGCTGCGTCTGGGGGTGCTGAGCCTGAGCGCGCTGAGTCTGGGGGTACTGCGCCTGAGGGTACTGAGTCTCCTTGGAGTGGCCGCCTTCGTCCGCGTGCGCCTCTCTCCCCACAGCAGCTGCACGAGTGGTACGCTCGCCGTCGGGGTCACGCTGCTGGAGCTCGGGGCGCTGCCGATGGAGGTGCTTCTGCTGTCGTCGCTGGAGCTGGGAGTGGTGCTGGTACTTTGTCTACTGGAGGTGCTGGAGTCGCTAGTTCCGGAGGTGCTCGTACTGGAGGTACTGGAGCTGCTGGGGCTGGAGGTGCTGCGTCTGGGGGTGCTGCTGCTGGAAAGACTGAGGCTGGAGACCCTGGGACTGGAGGTGCCGAAACTGAGGGTGCTGCTGCTGGAGACACTGAGGCTGGAGACCCTGGGACTGGAGGTGCCGGTTTTGGTGTAAGGGCCTAATAAACTCAAGCTATTAGGACTTAATCAAACTTAAAACCTCTCCTCGGGGTCACCTCCAAGGGTCCCTGGGTGCCTGGTACAATACCAGCCCCTATCCTCGGGTCCGAGTTTGTAGAGAGAGGGATCAAGAAGGACTTAGTCAAAACAGCAAGAGCACCTTGAACGTCGCGCAGCGTGCCGTGCAGACCGTCGATCGGATTAAGCTGAGAATTCGCTATATCGAAGCTCGCTCCAAGAGCTTTAAAATGAGCCAAGTTGCCTCGCGAAAAGTTCTGCCATTACTAAGTTCTGGCTCGGACAGCGTTTGCCTAGCGTTGGAGTGCTAGCATACTAGCGTTGACTCGGGTAGCATTCCGCCGTCGAATAGCGCAGAAACGAAATTCCAGCGAGGAAGGAATTCGCTTGAATCAATTTGACTATATTCAGGTACAAACAGAGAAGGATTAAATAGTTCTAGCTAGCAAGGACCTTGGGAATCAACCTGGGAACAACCAGGGATGATCCCAAATAATTCCAAGCAACAGAACCAACCTGGCTGGACAAAATAGCAGGTGGTAGGTTGGTAAACAACCTCTGGTTATGTTTTTCCAACCTGGGAAAACAACAACCAGGTTCAGGTTCTAAAAACAGAACCTGTTTTGTCTTTGCCTAACCAGCCAAATGCTGGTTCCGCTGGTTTCCCCTGGCCTTGTAGCATGCAGATACAGACAAACAACATCCAACCTTCACCTAAATTGTACCCCTATAGTGCCTTCCCTGCTACACTATAGTTAACCAAACAAAACAGTACAATTTCGAGTTGGATAGAACTGAATCTGCGCAATCAACTCAACCGAACTGCAAAGCTTCCATCTTGGGTTCCTTTGCGAGCTCGTCCTTTCTGCTTGCACTGTTCATAGCGCGTACAATGTTGTGCCAAAGCGCACATTGCGCGAGTACCTGCAAATGCATCAAGCGAAAATTGCGAAAGCAAACAAACACACGAACATTCCATTCACACCCAACTGCATTCGCACACGCATACTCGTACAAACAGACGGCAGGATGTCGTGCAATGTAAATTTGCACCCAACACACTCCCCCTCAGCCTGCCGGCTGCTTCCCCATCATTCCATGCTAGTTCATGCTCATTCCACTCATGCGCAGACAACGCCAATGAGGCTCATCCGCAAGCCTCTTGGTGAGAAAGTCTGCTGGCTGCTGGTGAGTCTTGATGTAGATTGGATTCACCGTCCCCCTCTTCACCTCCTTACGCAGCCAGTGCCACTTGATACGCATGTGCTTGTTCAGGCCATGAAGCACAGCGTTCCTGGCCATCCCAAGAGCCCCCTTGCTATCACAAAACAGCGGCGTAGCAACTTTCTGCTCCTGGCCAATCTCCTCTAACAGCCTCCTCAGCCAAATCACCTCCTTCATGTTGGTGTAAGGGCCTAATAAACTCAAGCTATTAGGACTTAATCAAACTTAAAACCTCTCCTCGGGGTCACCTCCAAGGGTCCCTGGGTGCCTGGTACAAGACCAGCCCCTATCCTCGGGTCCGAGTTTGTAGAGAGAGGGATCAAGAAGGACTTAGTAAAAACAGCAAGAGTACCTTGAACGTCGCGCAGCGTGCCGTGCAGACCGTCGATCGGATTAAGCTGAGAATTCGCTATATCGAAGCTCGTTCCAAGAGCTTTAAAATGAGCCAAGTTGCCTCGCGAAAAGTTCTGCCATTACTAAGTTATGGCTCGGACAGCGTTTGCCTAGCGTTGGAGTGCCAGCATACTAGCGTTGACTCGGGTAGCATTCCGCCGTCGAATAGCGCAGAAACGAAATTCCAGCGAGGAAGGAATTCGCTTGAATCAATTTGACTATATTTAGGTACAAACAGAGAAGGATTAAATAGTTCTAGCTAGCAAGGACCTTGGGAATCAACCTGGGAACAACCAGGGATGATCCCAAATAATTCCAAGCAACAGAACCAACCTGGCTGGACAAAATAGCAGGTGGTAGGTTGGTAAACAACCTCTGGTTCTGTTTTTCCAACCTGGGAAAACAACAACCAGGTTCAGGTTCTAAAAACAGAACCTGTTTTGTCTTTGCCCAACCAGCCAAATGCTGGTTCCGCTGGTTTCCCCTGGCCTTGTAGCATGCAGATACAGACAAACAACATCCAACCTTCACCTAAATTGTACCCCTATAGTGCCTTCCCTGCTACACTATAGTTAACCAAACAAAACAGTACAATTTCGAGTTGGATAGAACTGAATCTGCGCAATCAACTCAACCGAACTGCAAAGCTTCCATCTTGGGTTCCTTTGCGAGCTCGTCCTTTCTGCTTGCACTGTTCATAGCGCGTACAATGTTGTGCCGAAGCGCACATTGCGCGAGTACCTGCAAATGCATCAAGCGAAAAATGCGAAAGCAAACAAACACACGAACACACCATTCACACGCAAATGCATTCGCACACGCATACTCGTACAAACAGACGGCAGGATGTCGTGCAATGTGCATTTGCACCCAACACACTCCCCCTCAGCCTGCCGGCTGCATCCCCGTCATTCCATGCTAGTTCATGCTCATTCCACTCATGCGCACACAACGCCAATGAGGCTCATCCGCAAGCCTCTTGGTGAGAAAGTCTGCTGGCTGCTGGTGAGTCTTGATGTAGATTGGATTCACCGTCCCCCTCTTCACCTCCTTACGCAGCCAGTGCCACTTGATACGCATGTGCTTGTTCAGGCCATGAAGCACAGCGTTCCTGGCCATCCCAAGAGCCCCCTTGCTATCACAAAACAGCGGCGTAGCAACTTTCTGCTCCTGGCCAATCTCCTCTAACAGCCTCCTCAGCCAAATCACCTCCTTCACCCCATGGAACATCGCCATGTACTCTGATTCTACGGAAGAGAGTGCCGTCTCCGTCTGCTTCTTGGACCTCCAACTAACAGGTCCTCCCCCAACTACGCAGATGTATCCTCCCACAGATGATGAATCCTCCTTCTCAGAAGCCCACGTAGCATCGGTAAAGCAAGTGAGAAATAGCTTGCCTTCTCCAAGCCTCTCCCCCTTCTCTTTCAGCACCTCCACCCCTTTCTGCTTCACCTGTGCAGATGCGGAGTATTGAACTCCAATGCTTGGGTGAGAGTTCAGGTACTTCACCACACGCTCAGCTGCATCCACCTGCTCCTCTGATGGATTCTGCACCACCCTAGCCAGCTGCCCAACCGAGAAAGAGATATCGGGCCTCGTGTGAACTGCTGCGTACAAGAGGCTGCCCACCAAGGACTGAAATTGCTGCTGCTCTTCAGCTTCAACCCCTTCATCCTCTGCAGCCTTCACAAGCTTGAATTCTGCTGGCAGGGGAGTTGCAACCTTGCGCTCATTCTCAATCCCATACTTCTCCCCCAGCTCCTTGATGAACTTCTCCTGGTGCAGCTTCAACCACCTGTGATCTGGATCCCTCTCCACGTGCATCCCGAGGTAGTACTTTACCTCCCCAAGGTTCTTGCACTTGAAGTTTTCCATCAGTTGCTGCTGCACTTTCTGGATCTCCTTCATGCTGCTGCTGAAGAGAAGAATGTCGTCCACATAGACCAGAAACAGCACCAGCTTCTCCCCCTCGCCCTTGAGAAAGAGGCTCTCATCACAGCTGCTGGTCCTGAATCCCATCTCCTCTAAAACAGCTGCCAACTTCTGGTACCAGCAGCGTGGCGCCTGCTTCAAGCCGTAGATGGACTTGTTGAGCTTGCACACCCTGCCCGTACCATCCTCATACCCAGGCGGCTGCGTCATGTACACATCCTCCTCTAAAATCCCATTCAGGAATGCCGTTGAAATATCCATCTGAATGATGAATTTCCCACTAACAGCTGCATCTGCCAACAAGACACGGAGGGTAGGGGGTTTGGCAGTGGGAGCAAAGATCTCGTTGAAGTCCTGCTTCTCCTTCTGCATAAACCCCTTCGCCACCAGCCTACTCTTGTAGATGGTGACCTGCCCCTTGTCATCGGTCTTGATCCTCAGCACCCACTTGCATTGTATCGCTTTCTTCCCATCAGGCAGCACCACCAGATCCCATGTCCTATTCTCCAGCAGACTCTGGTACTCAGCATCCCTAGAAGCCAGCCACTTGTCCCTATCTGGTCCAGCTAATGCCTCCTCCATGCTAGCTGGTTCCTCTGGTGCAGGGGCAAGAAAACAGTACGCAGGCTCATCCTCCTCATCCGGGTCATAGCCATGAGGTAGAATCAGCAATGCCTCTTCGGTCCCTAGCTGCTGCTCTGCTGCATCAGTTCCTGCAGTCAGCTTCTTAGTAGCCATACGGGTACGTCCTGGCCTGGAGACGGGTGTCTCCCATCCCTTCATAACGACACCCTTCGGCTTCTTAGTTTTTTCCTGCTGCTTCTCTCCTCCCTCGGGTCCAGCAGCTCCACTAGTGCTGCCGCCAGTTTCCACACCATTTTTTCCACCAGCAGATGCCTCCTGTACCTTCTCTCCATCACCATTTCCAGCAGCTGCCTCCTCTCCCTCCTCCCACACACTAGGAGTCAGGTCCAGCTGCATGGTGATCTGCTCCATCTGCTGGGACACCCTTGCCTCCGGCTGTTTCTCCCAGCTCCCATACATCATGCCCTCAATGAATTTCACATCCCTGCTGTCAAACAACACACCCTTGGATGGTTCCCACAGCAGCCATCCCTTGCTCTCAGCAGCCAGCCCCAAATGCACACACCAGATTGCACTCGCCCCCAACTTACTGCGGTAGGTCTTGGGGACGTGGGCGACTGCCATGCAACCGAACACCCTCAGCATGTCCACCGGCGGCTTCCTCCCAAGCCACCTCTCCAACGGCACCCACGAGTCATCCCCAACCTTGGTGAGCACCCTGTTCCTAGCGACAGTGGCGTGCCGGACAGCATGAGGCCACATAGAATTGCTCAGCCCAGATTCTATGAGCAGCGCCCTAGCTGTCTCCAGAATGGTCCGGTTTGCCCGTTCTGCTACACCATTGGACTGTG